AAATACAATAAAAATCATTGTAATAACATTTTATTATGTACATTCATTGTACATCTAGGTAGCAGTTTTGCCGTTTTCGGAAGGGTACAACATTATGACAATCATTTTTATTGTCGACAATAAATATTAATGTTAGAGCATTGGTGGGCGTTGGCCAAATTTGGATTTTTCTGATATAATCCTAAATAGGACCTAGATTATTTAATACTCTAGTAACCTCAAGTCCGTGCTCTGTCACAATGTTTCATTGTGATTAATCAACACTCAAAGGGGTAAAATATCAAATTTAGGGTGAATTTGAAAGAAAGGGAACTTGGAGTGTAGAGCGCACTGCCCACTGGACGATTCTGAAGCCTGGCCAAGTGAGTGGGGTATGGGTTTATTTGATTGAACGTCATTTCCAATGTATATATTGATATATTCAAACCATTGGCATTTGAGATAAGACAGAGATAGGATGCGGAGGGCCCGCTTAGGGGAAGCGTAACCCATGTTATGGTTTCCATTTATTAAATAGTTCAGATAGGCTGGAAATGACAGGTTCATAGTGAGAAAATGTACCATATGGGGCCCGTTCACTGATCAAAATCAGATTCACATCGTCAGACCCTGCCCAAGAATAAGGGGATTGACGATGTCTTGTCAAGTTTTATTTTGAATTTGCGTTTTGCATTTAATACTCTAGTAAATCTCGCTTCCGTGCTCATTCACAACAGTGTGAGGTGTCAATGCTCACTGGGTCATATGTCTTAGACCAGTTCCAGATTAGTTTGCTATTAATATCTTCTGCATCGCAGTTCGCGATAGATTCCTAAATATGGGTTCTCTTTTCCGACCATAATAGTGTGAGGGAAGGGGGTGAGTTCTGGATCAACAATGGAAGGGGGCCCATCGGTTTTTGTGGGCAAACCGTCCAAAGCCCGTTCCTCACGGATCGGGGGCTGCTCACGCAGACCAACACCATCTTCGTGTAGGTGGAAGTTTTCCCTATCCGATGATGGTGTTGGTTTGCGTGGGTGGCCTTCGCTTTGTGAGTGGGGGGCTTTGGAGCGGTTTGTTTACAAATGCTGATGGGCCCTTTTCTATTGTTGATCCAGAGTTAAACGTTCGATATGAGAGCGACTAGGGCAAATAAATAGGAAAGACAACACCATGACCCAAATAAGTAACCAATGCATGCGGCTCACACTTAACTTGTTCTATTTCTTTCTTTCTTCCTATCATGTACTAATATTAACTGCCTGAGGACAAATGGGAACACGACCAGAAACCAGAAACGAACAAGAAAAGAAGAATTAAACTTGCACCGGCAAGAGGAAGCAGACAGAAAGGATCATGCCGGTTGGAGACAGCCAATGTATACTGGACGAAGCTTGTATCTAGGAAAAGTTGTATGTGCAGGAAACCGTAAGTAGGATAAGAATCGTAAAAGGTGTGTGCTTGCTTGATAAGATCCTAACTTTACTTTAAATACACGGTAGGAATCGAATATCCATTTATGATTAAGGTTTTGCCCATTTTTCAGTGGGAGTGGCAATACTCATTGATGAGTGATTTATCGTACCCATTTATTAGTAACTGTTTGCAGCTAATGATTAATTGATTTACCTATTTTAGAATTACCTATACTTCACATCAGAACCTCATTTCCTTCAATTACTACTCCGTCGCAGCACACACCTTATATGGATCGCTAACCTTTATTTAGTTTCAGCATTTTCGACATTATAATCAAAAGGTGAGTTTTAAAAGTATAATTACCATGCATATAGATAAGTTAATGTACCAGAACCTGGACGGACACGAGCCTACCCGCATAAACGCGAACCATCACATGACCTTACCGATAATGGTTATAAATTGTTTATAATCCCTGCTAAACTTCAACTGAAATGGTTATGGAACCTTACATGAACGTTTGTGTGATAAAGTTTTAACCTTATGTGTTATGGTTTTCTGGAAGCGGACCTTACAAATAATGGGTTGTTAAGAACCATTACCATTCCAAATTCTTGTTTTCTCCATACATTTTCGGAAAGAGAACTATATTAGAACGTTTTTACTTATGGTTTGAGAACATTAATGGTTATGGTTATGGTAGTCAGTAAGGTCCATTAATGGTTTTGTATTATCGCTCAACTTTACGTGAAATATATCGTGAATTGGTAATCAGTAATTTACAGGCAACCAATTCGCGATATATTCCACATAAAGTTGATCGATGTTACAAAACCATTCATGGACCTTACTGGTTACCATAACCATTACCATTAATGTTCTTAAACCATAAGTTAAAAGGTTTTAGTAAAGTTTTCTTTCCGAAAATGTATGGAGAAAACAAGAATTTGGAATGGTAATGGTTCTTAACAACCCATTATTTGTAAGGTCCACTTCCAAAAAACTATAATACTTAAGGTTAAAACTTTATCATTAAACGTTCATGTAAAGTTCCATAACCATTTCAGTTGAAGTTTAGCAGGGATTATAAACAATTTATAACCATTATCGGTAAGGTCAATTTATGGTTCGCGCTTATGCGGGTACCCAGGGGAGGACCCGGATACGACCACCCATGTGTGTCTAGAGTATCGCACGAGCTGACGAGTGCAACGGGAAGGACAGTAGCCCTAATAAAAATTGTATGGTTAATTTGCTTAACGACGTGTTCTGGGTATCATCCAAACCATTAATGGAATAGTTCAATGATTTGGGTTATCGTTCGTTTATGGTTATTTTTTATTAGGGAGGTGTATAGACTAGGGGGTTGGTCCCTAGATAAGCCTTCTTAGCGGAAGGCACAGCCTATGCACTGAACAATTACAATTACAATTACAATTACAATAAATATTAATGTTAGAGCATTGTTTCCACTGAAAATTTTATTGTAATTTTTTTTTCGGGTCTGCTTTGAACTATTTTATGTACCGTGAAAAATACTTCACAATCGCTTACTTGACCATGCGTCTTCAGATGCTGGATTGCGCCGTATACCAGACTTCAACGAGGCTTACTATAAAATTACCAAGTCTAAAATGGTAACAATGAAAATGACATCAGATTCTGATGAAATGCGGATACCCTCACAATATTTTTTCCCTCTAGGCTGTGGTCAAGGCTCGGCGAGTGTTCCTTCTAATCTGGAGAGGTTCTTGGTATAGTCGCTATATTTATAAGGACTTGCTGCAAGTCATTAAACAGTTAAATAAACCTGCTATTCTATACCAGGCTAATTTATGAACGACAAGGAATTAATTTTGGCAAACACCTTTTCGAAAATTGGACGATCAACAATTTTCGAACATTGTAATTTCTTTTTCCATCAGAATCCGATTTCCAGAAATACGCCCTTTTGTATTATTTTTCAATCGTTCTGTCATTTATCATCCACTCTGAAAAATTTTCACGTCCGATTTACGTGAAATATCTCGTAGCTGCTCTGATTTTAGAAAACCTCAAATGTTACGTGACGTTAGTCACTTTGACCTGCATCACACGTCATGTTCACTAAAAATGTTAGTGAAATCTACCGTATTTTCACGTGAACATATTTAGTGTGTCTGTGTTAGTGAGTTTCCGACTTTGACATTTCAGTGAAACTAGGTTTACGTGATTTTCAGGTATGCAAAAAATCAATATGGCGTCAAAGTGTAATTTGGCGGAAGAACTCCTCAACGATTTAAAATTTCCCGACAGCTTGCTGAAAGTATTGGACGGTAATTTGATTATTTTACTTTATTTGTTTAAGATTATGAGTCACTAACGTAGCTTCTTTTATATGTTTATAATTTCAGAAGGTGGATTCGGTATCTTTAGCCTCCTTACTGCATCCGAGGATCAGTTCTTAGCATGCTTAGAAGAGCTGGGCTATAAAGATATTTCGCGCACATCGTCATATTTATTCGGATTTCAGATGGGCGATATTCGATTACGAAAATACTTCTCCGAGCTTGTTAGCCTCTGCGTCTACAGACAGATTATGAAGTGATGCTTTCAGGCAGTGTGAATAACAAAGGAACTAATTATCGAACAGGAAATGTCATGACAATGTTCAGAAACGGTACCACACTTTTATATGAGATTCTTGAAATAATGTATTTAGAAAATTCATTGTATTTAATAGTACAAATGTGGGATGTAGGCCAATACCAAGAACACTTTTTAGCATACGAAGCGATGAATCGTTTAAGTTTGGTAAATATAATTAGCATAGATTATTTTGACAGTCAGCCTGTATCACTACATCGCGTTGAAAATTCGTACATGTTTAGAGTTAAGAATAATTTTAATGATAATTTAAATAAATGTTTGAAACAGAGTTTGAAACAGATTTATAAATATTTTGTTAAACAGTCAATAATTTGCAATTTTATGATCAGGTATAAATATCAAATGCAACACGCAACATTTATAGCTGCCCGATAAAATTGCAAAATATTGACTGCTGCTATTAATACGTTCAATTACTATCACTCCAAAATCACGTGCAAATGACGTGAAACGCATTTCGAATGAAACGGAATATCACTTAAAAATTACGAATGTTTCCTGTATTTTTTACTCAATTTTCACGTAAGTAGTACGTGGAAATCATGCCTTATATACTTGACTGATCACGTAGATAAATGAAACTGATTTTTTTTGGCTACATAGTATTCCAGTCAAAGTTACGTGAAAAGTAGGATGAACGAAAACCACCTATGTTCTCAGGTAGATCGGACGTGAAGATTTTTCAGAGTGTCCATAATAATCAACAAACCATGGTGGGTATATAAATGGTGATACAGCTTTGTCACTATATAGGCGAGGAGGTCGCGGGGGGGGGGGGGGGGAAGTGTGGTTTTAGAGCAAATTATAAACAAACTCGGTCGCTGTTCCATACAAAAATCCAACATGGCTGAATCATGAATTTGACACATTAGAACACCTATATGTAGACACCTTGCAACAAACTTTATTGTCATTGTCACTGTTTCGTGTTCTGTTCTTTGGTAAAGATTTTGCATTTTCCGATTATTCCAGTATTATTTATGCAGTTAATTATAAATTGACACAATGAAGACCGAGGATCGGTTCGAAGCAGTTTGTGTAGACAAGCTATCGCTTTCATTCACTTGTCGAACGTGTCTAAACACCGACTCTGATCAACAGTTGATTTCGATCTTCGACGACACCGAATCCAGTGGTAAATTATATGTTGATTTGTTCCATAAGTTGTCGCTACTGAAACTGAAGGTATGTAAATTGCGATAGGGCCGTTTCGTATTCTAATATTACTTAATTGTATAACTTTCTAGATTGCGAAAGACGATGGTTATCCGGCAAATATATGCAGTATTTGCATGGAACGGTTACTGGCTGTCGATGCTTTCCGAAAGCAATGCGAAAAAGCTCAAGAGTATCTCGAGCATTACTTTGTGAAACTTCCTGAAAATGTTCCAGATATCAAGCCGGACTTACAAGTCTGCTGTGTTAAAGACTCGGAGATTTTGAACGATTCTAAGAATATTGAACCTCCAGAAGATAGCGAAAATGAGAATCGTAATGATGTTGGATTTGAAAGTGAAGAATCGTCATCAGAATATAAGCCAGAAGGTGAAGAATCATCGTTGGAAGACGAAGAAAATCCTTTAAAGGACAATGGTAAGCTAAAATGTCCTGTATGTGATAAAATTTTCCGAACCGTCGCCATCAAAAATAATCATCTACATTTGCACAATAAAGTGAATGCATTCCCCTGTGATGAATGCGAGATGTCCTTCAAATCCAGGGGCTATCTGAGAAAACATAAGAATATGGTGCACCCAGTTGGCCACGGCAACAAGACCTTTATTCAGTATGCCCATAGCAAGAATCACGAATTGGCGGAAAAACCGTCATCCTATCTGTGTAATATTTGTGGAAAAAGCTTTCGCTACGAATGTACCCTTAAAACGCATCTAAAAAGACACGAAGAGACACTAAAGTATCCTTGTAATATTTGTAATAAACAATTCGCACAGAAAGGTAATCTTAAACTACACCTTGCCATCCATAATAACATTCGGGCTTATCAGTGTGAGCAGTGCGGTAAGAAATTCACCCAACTAGGCCAGCTAAAGTCACATATGATACTACACAATGCCGAAAAGTCGCACCATTGTGAATTCTGTAGCGAATCGTTTCTGAGAATCCGAGATCTGAGGCGACATAATTTGATAGTGCACGGCAAGACAGATGTAAGCATACGGTTTGATCAATCTTTGCCGGAAAACGAAGACACTGTTGAAATGGTTCCAATGAAGATGGAAGAGAAGCTTTCCAAAAAGACCAATGATTTTCCATACGCTTGTGATTTGTGTAGCAGAACGTTTAAAGTGCCGTCATCGTTGGCGAAACATATCAAAATACACAGCGAAGAGAGAAAATTCGACTGCACTAAATGCGGTAATACTTTCAAGGCACTCGCACATTTAAAAAATCACATCAACGCGGTACATCTGAAGCGGAAACCGTACAGCTGCGAGGTAAGTCAAACTACAGTATTGATCGGTTTGGTCAGCCCCCTTTTTGAAAATCTTTTCTATTGTTCTAAACTCAAAAAAAAAAATCACATTTCCGATGGAAAATATCCATTAGAATTTCACATACCTTTCATGTGATCTCATAATTGGGAATCGCACCACGAAATCACATGAACCTTATGTGTCCAATGAAGTTTATGTGGTTTATCACATAGAATTCATGTGATTATATGAATGCTATGTGAATTTCAGATAAAAATCATTAATTTTGTTATTGGAAAAATATCATGTGCGTTCCCAACTATATGAAAACTTTTTTCAGTGTACGATATCTATGCGCTTTTTCAGTGGTCTTCTAGCACCCCAAACATACATCTTATAAGTCTATTTTTATGGTATTTTTCTTGTCGATAATTGTTTTAACATGTTATAACTCTGTTGTTCTCACGTACTATTAAAGATGAATGAGATTGATTTGGAATTACGGTTATGTGAAATGATTGAACGATTAAAGGTCTGATGCGAGGAGGGGCGATTTCTGTTTATTACTGTATTTGCTATTTAATGGTATGTAGCCCGTGATGTATTCCATACAAAGTTGACCGATATTAAAAAAAATCAGTATGTATGTATTTATTTAAAAGATTACCAACACCATTATTATTTAAGTTCTCGAACCATAGAAAAACAAGCTTTTAAGAAAGCTCCCGTTCTAAAAATGTGTGAAGAAAACGAGAATTTTGAATGGTAAACCAATCGAAAGGTTTAAAACATTCCGTGTCGCTGTGTGTCCAAACGACTTCGCAATGAGCCGTCGAGAAAATACCTTTCGAAAAGGTTTTGCGAATACGCCTAAGAAACTGGATCTTGTCAAAGTGCACAATTTTTGTGTGACCATTCTGGGTCTACAACAGGGTGAAGGGATACGAATCCAGAACAGCAGATCCCTCAGTGTCTCGTCCGTGAAGGTTGTTGACATAGCGTCGGCGCAACGAATTTGCGAGGAACACGATAATCAGCACAAGATTTCAGTCGACGGGAAAAATATCCCCGTTCGCAATGCTGAGTTTCAAATTGTTTTAAACGACTCGACAATTTTATAATTTGAAACTGTCAAAAATAAAACTGCAACACGATCAGCGCAACGCACAGTTCTAAAAGATGTTTGCAATCATCAAGTTCCATAAACTTTACTGTTCTTTATGAAGTTCATAGAGTTTTTTTGTAAAGCTCTTCGAAACATCTTTAAATATATCCAAAGAAATTTGAAACAGAGTTCCATTCGTGTTTCAAACTCGCTCAGAAATAAAACAGAATAGTCGAGCAGTTGCAAATCTGGTGCAAAATAGTGCTCGAATAATGAAACTGCAACTCAGAATTGCGAGAGGTGCGTTTCTGTTCTAGTTTCAAATTGAAACAGTCCTTATAAAATACAACAGCATTGCGAACGGCCCAAGGATCTCGCTGGAGGAGGGAGCAGTGGAATTGAGGCTCTACGATTTGTGTGAGAAAATGTCAACAAATCTCGAAATCCCTCAAAAGGTACGGTTATGACGTCATAAGAGAAACGATGCGAAATCGATATCGATATCTCCGCCATTTCGACTGGTGTTCGCATAGCAAACATGCCGGTGAAACGAAACATCGAGTCGTGGGTCACCATCGACGGTCTGATGACACATGCATCTTATTTTGGGCAACTTTGATGTTATCATTCTTTTATTTAACGTTGGTCTCTGTTCCGCAATCTAGTGCCAATCACCGACGAACATCGATTGCCATCCATGTCATGCAATCGAATGTGCAAGAAGGCAGCTTCAGCACCTGCGTAGGATATCGCACCCATTCAACACACACATGGGCCGGAACCAATGGCTTTACTTCCTTTCCGAAGGAAGACGTGACCAGAGATTTTTATGCCCCAGAAAAATCCCACCGACCCCGACTAGGATTGAACCCAGACCCATTGGGGTGAGAGAGCAGTCACGCTTACCACTACACCACCGGCGCCGGCTTAATAATGATGTTATAGCAAAAAGCAGATGAAATTTTGTTCACAAAATCGATGTACATCGTACAACGTAATATTACACAACCAGCAAATGACCTCTGTGACAGCACAGAGAATGAGCGCCCCCTCTACCTGATTTCAACGCTAAAATTGCGCTAAAAGCGGAGCGTAAAACCACAGACAAACAGACATAACACTCGCAAGTTCTTCATCGAACACGCATTTAACGGTCAATTTAAAAGTATAGTAGTTGGTAGTACCGCCACCGGTGGCGCGCATAGTCAATTCCCTTGCGTTTGACGTTTACACCCTACCGCCATCTGTTCAGCGTACTACCCACCACAGTGTACTCAACAGATGGCAGTAATGTTTTAGCGACGATGTTTTACAGTGAGAAATATTCAATGTGTTATGTCTGTTTGTCTGTGGTAAAACTATTGACTTCTTACACCAATAAAATTCCACACATTTTTATTTCGATGTGAAATTCCACATGATTTTCATGTGACCACACATAAACTGAATCCACCCAGAAGCACACATGAAATTTATGAGTTAAATGAATAGTATGTGTGGTTACACATGGTTTTTATGTGTACACATATTAAGTATGTGTTCGACACATAGATATCATTGTAGATCACATTGCAAAAAATCATGTGTGGGACACATAAACATTGCGGATTTCACACCTGATTAGACTCCTGCGCTAAAAATAAGTACAAAGTAATATTTTCGCACTGGTCATAAAAGTTAAATATAGTAATGTTCTAAACCTTTTTCTGCTTTCTAATAAGTCGATTTTTAAATTTTCTGAGATGTGCGAAAATATAACTGTGCAATTATTTTTTGCACAGGAGCCTAATTTGGTGCAAAATGCGCAATACAATATTTGAAATTTTATTAGTGTAGGCTGAGTGAGAAAGCACTGCACTATTCAATTAATTATATGATTTGAGTAGAAGATCCGATAGATGTCGCCCCTTCAGTGGTAGGAAAATCATTTTTGCAGTATGGAGAATATCAGAAAATCCACGATTTGTGACTAAACATGCTTTCACAGAAGAAAACAAATAAACGAGTGTTTACCTTATCACCATAGTAATGTACTCGTGCAATTTTTGTGCATCTAAAACTGCCCATAAAGACGATAATGAATAAAAACTGAAAATTTTCATGCATTTTCAAATGGTTTCCTACCATTCCCATACATTCGAAAATGACTGGCCCTCTGGATGTGGATGATGTCAAAAACAACAAAACATGATTAATTCATTGCTCTGACCAGACCGTTTGTATCAAACAGTAAAGCACGAGGCAATGAAAGAGCCAACAAAAACCACAAGGGACAGCCCTATGGGGTTGTACGCAATGGTAACGTACACACAAAAAATTATCGTTAATGAAATTAAAAAAACCATGGGTAAAATTAAAAGTTTTAACCTTATGTATTATGGTTTTTAGGAAGCGGACCTTACAAATAATGGGTTGTTAAGAACCATTACCATTTCAAATTCTTGTTTTCTCCATACATTTTCGGAAAGAGAACTATATTAGAACGTTTTTACTTATGGTTTGAGAACATTAATGGTTATGGTTATGGTAGTCAGTAAGGCCCATGAATGGTTTTGTAACATCGATCAACTTTATGTGGAATATATCGCGAATTGGTTGCCTGTAAATTACTGATTACCAATTCACGATATATTCCACGTAAAGTTGAGCGATAATACAAAACCATTCATGGACCTTACTGACTATCATAACCATAACCATTAATGTTCTCAAACCATAAGTAAAAACGTTCTAATATAGTTCTCTTTCCGAAAATGTATGGAGAAAACAAGAATTTGGAATGGTAATGGTTCTTAACGACCCATTATTTGTAAGGTCCGCTTCCTTAAAACCATAATACATAAGGTTAAAACTTTATCACACAAACGTTCATGTAAGGTTCCAAAACCATTTCAGTTAAAGTTTAGGAGGGATTATAAACAATTTATAACCATTATCGGTAAGGTCAAGTGATGGTTTGCGTTTATGCGGGAGTTCAAAAGGTACGTGCCCCCTACTTTTTAAAGTAACTTTCAAAATAAATTGTAGAACTGTCAAATCAAAAGCTTGACAGTGTTAAATTTAAAAGTGTATTATTTTTTATTCAAACTAAACTTTCAACATAAAAGGTGATAAAAGCTTTGTATACTTATATTGACATATGTGCCACTTTGATTTAACTATATATAAAATATGTTTAATTTAAATAAAAGCATTTTCAACATCATCTTTTTGTCATCTTTTTTATTGTATACTGAATATCAAAACTTTTAAATAACTGTTTTTATTTTTCAATGGAAAATATTGTTAACATTACCTAACATAATGATATGTATCCATATTGACGCACCCATTTGTCTTTCAAATTAAGCTGCAAACCCAACATACTGACAGATGCCTCAAACTGACCATTATCTGTTTCCTGCGGGACTCCTCCATTACATAGATAGCAGCAGTGTTTGAGAAATTTACAGTTGCTGTTGTTTATGCTGTTCAAACGCAGGGTGTTCAAGAAGTAGATAACTTCCTCCAGCAGGTCCGATCACTACAGCTTCCTGGCTTGGTCATATGAGAATGAAATTGACTAAAATCAAATAAAATCACGTTGTACATGTATGCATGCGTGTTGAAGGAAATTATGCCTCTACCTGCTGGCAGCGAAGAGCGATTCGCAAAGCCCATATTCGACAGAAGCACCCCTTGTCCGATTGTGTTGAAACTGTGTATGTAATGCAAGCTTCATGCCATTCGAGATGATGTATCAAGTGCTAACAAAATTACAGTGAACAAATGTGCCGTTGCATAAAGTTGATATGAACACATATTATTGAAAGTTGAACAATTTTTCTTTCAAATAATGAACTTTTAAAATTACAAGCCAAAATTGAAAGAAGTTTTTTTTTTAAACTCATAGCGTGACTTTCATTTTGAATATATTCGTAGTTAAAACTACAAATTATGAGAAACTTTCAATTTGAAAATAAATTATTTTTATTGATACAGTTTTTATGTTTTGTGTGTAGGACTACGTGGTCTTAGGGAACATGCATAAATGACGTAGCATTTGAGGGGGGAGGTGGGGGCTTCAGAATTTGTGACCGGACATGTATTGGATATAGCCAAATACGCTACGAGGGGTCTAAAATTGATCAAAAATATGCTACGTCATTTATGGATGCTCCCTTATATAATAAATCTTATTTGTTATATATATTACGTGATATAAGCCATAGTCTGTACGGGGTATTAGCCTCGGTATTAGCAACAATCAATTCGAAACTAACAATTTTAAATTGGCTCACTACTTGACTAGCCTATTGGTCCCAAGCAAATCGATTAACGTACCCAATTCTAGTATAAATTCCAGTGCTACATTTCGACTATTTCGGGACCTTCTAGTCATAGAGTTACCTCTATACTAGTAGGGGTGATGCACAAATTATGTCATGCTCTAAGGGGGGAGGGAGAGGGGGGGGGGCAAGATTATGTGACGAGCAATGCATTAGGTATTAGGAAACCGTGTCGAAAGGGGGGATTGGGGTTATTTTTTCCTCAATGTAGAGTGACATAATTAAAGTATGGTTTTTTTTTCTTCGAAAGTCATATCGACTTAAACCTAAAATTCTTTCGAAAAATATTGCAAGTCTTGACAAATCAATTTGGTTGTTTAGGGTTATTGAGGTAAATACATATTCGTTATCTGCGTTAAAAATGGAACCGAAATCTAAAATTTCATCAATTCTGGTACACTGGAACTATTTTAAATAAGTACCATTACATTATCAAAAATCACCATCTTTGCGCCCCTTGGTGGGACTTTGTATGGAAGCGAGATGTCAACGAATAGATTTAGCACAGACAAACAGACGTAACTCTTTGAAAAACTTGTTCTTGAAAACATAGTATCTCAAAACATATAACCTCAGTAACGACATCTATCTGGCTTCTCGCGGAAAACAAGCTTGCTCGCTAACTCGTAAACAAAATTGCATAAAATTTCTATAGAATATATAGAAACGTCAAAGTGATCCGATGCCAGCGCTGCGGCGAGTAGTTCGCGGAACTGATAATATTCAAATCAACCGTTAAATGCATGAACGAAGATACACAATGAAGAGTTACGTCTGTTTGTCTGTGGATTTAGTGTCACGATCAAAAATTTAAATCTTGATTTAAAAATCGAGATGAATGTCCACGGGATCAATAAAAATATCGTTGTGCTCAGAAAACGAAGCTCTATCAGATGACGTATAAACATTGGTATATTTTTCGAAGTTAAACAACCCAATTGCAAGTGTTTATCTAGACACAATAGATACGGCATTGATTTTTAAGAATGGAATAGAGAGCTACTTAGACATGCACCTTAACTATTTTGAAATAAACATAACTTGCAGATTGTAATGGCTATTTTTTTCTTACACAGGTGTGTAAGAAATCATTCGCTCGGGTGGGTGACCGGAACGTTCACATGCGTGCACATACGGACGAGAAACCACACCAGTGCTCTTTCTGTGGAAGAGGCTTCAACTTGGCCAAGGCACTCCGGGCTCATGTCCGGCAACATACGGGAGAAAGGCCATTCGTGTGCATCATTTGCAATGCCGGCTTCACCTGTCACAAAACTCTTGCTTGTAGGTATCTATAAACTACGTTCCTGGCTACGGAAGTATTTATATATTGCAACACTAACTTTTTTCATCTTTGGCACAGCTCACACGCGTAGGCTGCACGCGGAGGATCCTCAGGTTCTCAGGAAGGTAGACGAGTTAGCACAGACGGTGCTGTTTGCACCGTCATCTGCTGCTGTAGGAGATGGGGCCTCAACGACGGTAACTAAATCGGAGGATTCTTAAAATACATGCACTAAATTTTAAGAGCATACTAAAAGGGTGCTTTTTCATCCGAAAGATCCTTGCAGAACAGGTCCTGACAAAAGATTTGTCCCAGGATGGTGTCAAAATATATTGTGACGAATAGGCCCTTTCGATAAGTATCCGCCGCTGGAGGCGCTGCGTAGAAAAAAGTGATGAAGTGTAAACAAACTGTCAAACCCCATACGGCGTTGTAAAAGGTGGAATAAAATACATTTTATTTGATAATTCTGATGCTTTCTTGCAATTTTATCCACATATTATAAGAATAAGATTATTTATCTACGCTATGGTAAGTGATAATTGTGATATTAATGCATTTTAAGATGGAAAAATGTCAATGTTATGATTTCTTTTCAGAGGGAACGAAATGGTGATCGTGAAAACAACTGTGTTGTTTTCAGTTGTAGGAGAGGAAATTGCCAGTTATTTCCAGTTCCTCACAAGGGTAGTAAAGTTTTCAGCAAGTGGACAAAGCTCTTGGAATTAAACGGAAGACCAGGATATAAAATATGAGGTGACCATTTCAAACCAGAAGACTTCCTGTTCCGTGAGATAGTTTTTATTGATACATTAGAAATTGTATTTAATGATCATTTATTATTCAGTAAAACGGACAAAGTTAAAAACCACGGGTATTCCGTCGGTTCTGCCAATGCAGATTAAAAAGGTAACGTTGAAGCCAGGGTGCTGTATATCAGGATGCCGGAAAACTAAGCCACTTGTAAGGATTCCTCCCGCATTTAGCTTAAGGCGAACTAAATGGAACTGCGTTCTACGTCTTCCAGCTGACGAGTCATCGAAGTGGCTGAAGATTTGTCACAAACATTTTAAATTAAATGATTTCGTTCAAAGTAAGTCCATTTAAACTATTCATTGCTAAATGTATCCATTGATTTATTTTTCATCAGTAACATCTCGCTACCTCAAACCTAACGCAGTTCCAAGCCGAGGAATCGCACCAAAAAGCAAGCGCAAAATTAAAATTTTTGTCAAAGAGGTTCCTGTTCTAGCCGAGACTAACGTACCGGAACATGGATACAGTGTTCCATGGAGAATGCCTCGAAGCAGAACTATATGTTTTGTTCCTGGGTGCACAGCACGGGCAGGAAACGGCATAAAGTTGCATCGGTTTCCTCGCGATACATTAATGTTGAAAAAATGGACTCATTCCGTAAAAACAAAGAAGCCTCCTTCGAAGTACTCCAAAATCTGCAGCAGACATTTCACAAGCGTCGAATATCAACCAGGTAATAACAACATTTAGTTTTAGAAACAATAAGGATCCAATTTTGTTAACAAACTCAGTGCTAACATTTGAAAACGGCGCAAAAGCCATTTGTAAACAAATGGTTTGTGGGCCCTTTACTCGCTACCCGAAGAACGCCCACGCAAACCAACAGCATCGTCAGGAAGGGGAAAATTTCCCCTACCCGATGTTGCTGTTGTGTCGCGTGGGTGTACTTCAAGTAGTGAGTAAAGGGCCCACAAACCATTTGTTTACAAATGGCTTTTGTGCCGTTTTCAAATGTTAGCACTGAACTATACAAGATTTTTAAGTCATTCACTAATTTTAATAGATTTTAATAAATACGAAATATACGAGGAAAAATAAATATCTGAAAAATCTACATTAAAAATGTTTGACATTTGAGTGCAGAGCACAAGTAAATTATAGACATGGTGATGTGTTGTCAAAAATTGGACCCAAATTGTACATAGGGTCAATTACCTATTTATGAATTTCCTCACTATTTACTATGATTTATTTTTAGGAGGAAAACGTCTAAAACCTACAGCATGTCCATTTTTATACCTTCCAACGACTGCTGTGTTACAACTTCCAAATCCGTACAACCGACCAAAAACTAAACAACGAACTATTCGAAGTCAGAATCATCTTCAGTCCCATGATGAAACATTCATGAATCGTCTTTCTTCAACATCGTCAACGCAGTCTGATTCAGATACGAATAGAGATTTTAAAGAAAATGACAGAGATTATTTAAATTCTGTTGACAATAAATTTAATTCAACGTTTTTGTCTCGTACGGATCATAATAAGGATGATATGCAAACCAACCATGTGGAAGGAGTGGAAAATAAATTCTTTACTACAGTGTCAGATGATAATGGATGTAAACCAAGCGTTACACACAACGATGTTACTAACTCTAATGCAGATACTAATGAAAACTCAACATTCCTAAAAACTGTTAGTAGAGGAATTTCTGAACGAGGAAAGGAAGCTACGTTAACCAACTTGATTAAAACTGATAGAGATGCAATTGTCTGGACTGGAGTAGCATCTCTTGAGCAGTTGGATTCAATTTGTATTTCAGTCAAGATAATTGAAGATCAGTTGTATAAAGTGCAGTTCAGGATGTCAGCCATCGATCGGGTTGTATTAACCTCGGTATTAACATTAGCAAAATTAAAGCAAAACATTTCGTTTATTGCTCTTGCTACTCTTTTTGACGTAGCTACTTAGACAGTGTCACATTATTTCAGTCATACAATACAGGTGAGATTAAGATTCAGAATACCGAGTGTGCAAAATGCGTGTCGTTGCTACGGACAAGCTCACCGAGAAGCTCACTTCTCGGCAACGGGGCAGGATCGTCACACATTTTGCAGGCTCATTATTATGATAATTAATTTTGTTACAGTAGTTTACCTTACGATTACACGGTTTACACGATTAGAATATGCTTAAAACTACATTTTTCTTTCAATAACTAATCTTATTTCTATTTTTTGCAGATTCTAGCGGAAGTGTTGCAAAAGTTTGTACACTGGCCTGACCGTGAAGAAATAGCTATGAATATACCACTATGTTTTAGAGGAAAATTTGAAAAAGTGAGGTGTGTGCTGGACTGCACCGAAATGCCTGTTGCTACTCTTAAATGCATCAACTGTTGTATTGCATGTTATTCAAATTATAAGGGAAGGAGGACTATAAAATTTCTTCTTGGTGTGACCCCAGGTGGACTCATCAGCTACGTGAGTAAAGCATACAGTGGAAAAGCATCTGACAAACAAATTTTTGACGAACAAACATTTGTAAACTTGCTTGATGCTTTCACTGATGAACTGATGGTTGACAAAGGCTTTAGCATTCAACAGGAATGCCTCAATAAGGGAATCCGTCTTCATATTCCTCCGTTTTTGCGAACTGATCGACATACAGAAAGAGATGCTATACTGAATGAAAGCATTGCAAAATCCAGGATCCATGTCGAAAGAGCAATACAGCGGATAAAAATTTCTGGAATCATGCAATCAACAGTTGAAGCTCCTGTATTGGGTCTAGTTAATAGCATAATGACCGTAATATGCGCACTGGTGAACTTATCTTCACCTATTCTAAAAGACGATAAGTTTTGAAGATTGGATGGTACTTATTATAAGGTTAAAACTTGTATTTTTATTCAAATGTTATAACGATATTAATAGTAGCTGAAAAAATATGACAATTTTCAAAATAAATACTTTAAAACTTAATCCTCCTATTTGAAGGTAATTGTTATGATGACAAGATAAAAAAGAATAAATTTTGAGATTTAAATATTCATTCGGAAAACTTTTTAAACTCGAGAAATTATGCTACTTTATAAAAAGAAAGGAAGATAAACTATAACTAAACTGTAACAATATTTATTGGCTCACAGATTATTTGAGAGGCAGTAATCTATTTAAATAAAGAAACATGTACAATATGAACCTATAACAATCAGGATTCAATAATAAATCATTTCTAGTAATTGATTCTTCAGATCATTTATTTTTTCCTCTTGTATCTGTACCTATAGTATTAAAAATTGCCCCTAATTGATTTTATTACGCACATTTTCGTTTCTAACTACAATTTCTTGCAACAAATGGTTAAAATAAACCTGTTTCAATGAACTTACTAAATTTGAAACATAGTCTTCATCGTAATCGACTTCAATGATTATAAAGTCGTCCTCATACTTACAATAGACAATAAAATCGCACTTCATGCATCCTGTGACATGCATGCACATTTGTACTTGAGCAAAATATTTGTGCTTCCCGTTCAAAACCCAAGAGGAATTCACTCGTTTCAGATAAGTCTGCGTTGCCTTGCACTGGTTCACCATCCAATTAAGATCGTGGTCCTCTCCAGACGTAGGGCATTTGATTTCAAGTAGGAGCCTGCAGGTAGAGTCAATTCCATCTGGACTAACGCCAATCCAAGGATTACTGGGACACACTACAAAGCCACATTTTTTCACCAAAGGATTTCGTTTTCTTTTGTAGCAGTTTAGTGCTAGTTCTTCAGTCCGTTTACCATAGTCAAGGGCCTTTGAGCGGAATGCTTTGGGATTTAGGTAGTGCTGAATTTTCCTGTGCCAATCAGCGTTTTTGTTGCGGGTGTAGGTATAGAGGTCATAACACGAACTAGCGGTAATTCTGATAGAGCGATGCAAATACCAAGCATTATTTTGCTGTTCTTTGGTATCATCACAAATATCGAGTATGGACTGCTTATCTTTAACCACAACATTTTCGTAAAATAGTCTTAGGTTCTCCGGAAGCAACTCAAGATCGGTTCTGGATGTTCAACAAGGTGATTCACTGTTGATGCTGATCATATCATGTAATTCATGTCGGGAGACATAAATACCATGATCTGAACGATTCAGTGGCCCTGAGGTGGGTATTGGACAGCTGAGTTCTCTCCCATCGATATGCTTCTTGATGGCTGAGTTCGGAGATGCTGTAAATAGAAGCAACGCTTTATAATCTATATCGTCGTCAACATGCTGCAGCAACTTTACCTTGGAGAATTCGGTTGAAAGCTTGTTGCAGAAGATCTTCTTTATTAGGTGCATTTGAAAATAGCTTTGGATGCTTACGAACACAACAGAGCTCCTCCACTGGTTTTGCACGCCAAAGAGACGTCATGTTCGTTTTACTTTTACCCCATGCCTGTCGAGAATCTGTACATGTCATGTGTTCAACAAATTCAAATCTAAAATTGGACGGGAGTAACATTATCTGTCAATTCTTGCATATTGTCAAGATTGTTATGAAAATGTATATACTTACTGACAGAGATGAAGTAAGCATGCCACTATATGCTTACATCGTGCTGTTCCAGCTTTGCACGAACACTTCATAATCCACTGATGGTGATCCGATCCGATTTTAAGCTCCAGTTGGTCAGGGACATCCGCCGGATGCGAACTTTGGAGAACATACGCCTGAAGATTCAAGTGGCTGGATGTTTTATGAGTATATCCAATACACACAATGTGTCCCGAATCATACACATTCTGTCCTTCTCGTAAAGGTCTCACCGAGTCTCCTACATAATCCAATACGTTTCCAAACGATATCGGAACCTTTTCATGATTGGCAACATCGGAACCTAAAACCAAACAAATAACCTAGCAGTTCATAATAGCAAATACGTTTCTGAAGCCCAAACAATCTCCAGAAATATAATCATTATATATCAAACTATGGGAAATTAATTATATTACCTGTGTTGTCCATCTTTATTATTGTCACTGTTATTTTCCCCCGGAAATATTAGTTTAACAATGCACCTTTCTATAGGTACACAGCAGCCAATGTTTTGAATTTCATCACTCTTTTGACAGTTCCAAATATCGTCACCAGATAGCGTTCCGGTGCTTTTAGTTTTGCTCGAATTCACCTATTCAGTTTGACACATTGTTTCGGACTTATCACCGCTGCGATTGCAGCGTCACGGTGGTCGATTGAAACATGGATTTGTCAATTAATACGTCATTGCGCTCGGATAGCAGGGTTAATCGATAACTTTCCATCTGTCAAATTTTAACCAAAAGTTAAAATAATCCACCAAATGGTTCAGAGCCTAATACCCCGTTCACATTACAGCCTATATCACGTAATATAGGCTGTCTTGCAATGAGCACTCATACATAGGATTTCCAGTGAAAACTAGATGTATGAGTGCTCATTGCAAGACACCGTATATCACGTGATATCCCGCATAAACGCGAACCATAAATTGACATTACCTAAAATGGTTAAAAATTGTTTATAATCCCTGCTAAACTTTAACTGAAATGGTTATGGAACTTTACATGAACGTTTAATGATAAAGTTTCAACCTTATGTATTATGGTTTTTTGGAACTGGACCTTACAAATAATGGGTTGTTAAGAACCATTACCATTCCAAATTCTTGTTTTCTCCATACATTTTCAGAAAGAGAACAATATAAGAACGTTTTTACTTATGATTTGAGAACATTAATGGTAATGGTTATGGTAGTCAGTAAGGTCCATTAATGGTTTTGTATTATCGCTCAACTTTACGTGGAATATATCGTGAATTGGTAATCAGTAAATTACAGGCAACCAATTCGCGATATATTCCACATAAAGTTGATCGATGTTACAAAACCATTCGTGGACCTTACTGACTACCATAACCATTACCATTAAAGTTCTCAAACCATAAGTTAAAAGGTTCTAATATAGTTCTCTTTCCGAAAATGTATGGAGAAAACAAGAATTTGGAACGGTAATAGTTCTTAACAACCCATTATTTGTAAGGTCCAGTTCCAAAAAACCATAATACATAGGGTTGAAACTTTATCATTAAACGTTCATGTAAAGTTCCATAACCATTTCAGTTAAAGTTTAGCAGGGATTATAATCAATTTTTAACCATTTTAGGTAAGGTCAATTTATGGTTCGCGTTTATGCGGGATACGCTGTAATGTGGACGGGCTATAAACAACATCAGCTTTTTTTTTTTTTTTACTTTGGATTTGTCTTTTCAGACAGGCTAAAGGCCGGCGCACAATAGATACGTTTTCGGGTTTTTTGACAGTTAGCCTATGCATTATCTGTCAAAAACAGCGCTGCCATTTATACAGATTTATCTGTATTATACAGATTTTTTAATCTTAATACAGACCCGATACAGAATACAGATTTATCACAGATTTTTAAATTACAATACAGATTTATACAGATTTTTATAAAATGCTTGAGAAAAAAAAATTCAAAATTTATAAAAACAAAATAACTTGCTCGATTTTATCAGCGTACCCCCTTCTCTCCAAAATTAATTGTTGTGCTAAAAACCATATTTTTTGCAGTGGGATCTACTCGAGGCGTTGCTGTTTCTTTTATGCTTCTCTCACTCCCTCCAACGGAAAACGCAGTCACGCCCGTCACGGTAGTTTCGTTGTAATACTTAGCTCTCATTTTTGTTCTGTTAGCCATCAACTCCATCAAAATGAAATCAATTTGAGTTATCAGGAATAATGAAAACAACATAAATCTTGTTTTCATTTTGTTCTCACCCTCTGCTCGGGAACCTATCAAATTTCCATCGACAATTAATCTTGTTATGGTGTTTTTGACAGCATTCACAACCAGAGGACCAACCGCTTTCGGATGCATATGGAGCTGGTAGTAAACGATTTGAGATTGTATGGGGATTTACAGTATTAATTGAATATTTCCAATATAAGCATGTATGTTAAATACAAGAAAAGTGCCCGAGCACATTAAAATGGTACAAATACAAGTACTCGTAAACATTTTACTTGCATTGAAAATGTATTTCGTAAGAAATTGCAGATTTTCTGATATTCTCCATACTGCAAAAATGATTTTACCAGCACTGGCGGGGCGACATCTCTCGACTTTTCGGTGTAACTACCACACAAATGATGTAATTAATTGTATTCATATATATTAAAAATATCAAATAGTAATGAACTCGTGCACTTTTTTGCATTTAAAACTGCTTATCAGGAAGATATTTAATGAATAGAAACTAAAATCTCCATACATTTTCAAACGGCTTCATATCACTCTTATAAATAAGTACGGACGATATCACAAATGGCGCAATTATATCCCGTATGGTAAGTACGATAGCCCGTATAGGTGGTTAAGCACTTTTTATGGTTATTTTGTATGCACTGTATTTATAAAACAACAAAACATGATTAATTAAGAAAAAAATCGACAGAAAATACAGATTTTTTAATAGAGTGGATACAGATTTTTTATAAAACCACCTGGCAGCTCTGGTCAAAAAACCCGAAAACGTATCTATTGTGCGCCGGCCAAGACCATGGCTGGTCCATCTCGTAACATCAGCTTGCTTGTTCATTGCAGCAGATTCTAGTATTTTCCGTGGTGCAAGGAAGCTCTGTAATGTTTTAATTGAAAGTCAAATAACATGAAGAAAGACGATAACTTTGAAAAAGTTAGCGTAGATAAGTTATCGCTTGCATTTACTTGTCGTACATGTCTGAAAACCGATTCTGACCAACACTTGACTCCAATTTTCGAAGACGCCAAAGACAGTGGTAAATTTGATGTTTTCGATCAGCTGTTGCTGCTGAAGCTCAAGGTATGCGATTGGTAGGGGTCATCTTGTTTTATTCTAATTATTGTTTCCTATTGTAATATTCCAGATTCAGAAAGATGATAGATATCCAGAAAATATATGCAGCATTTGCATGGAACGGTTGGAGACTATAGATGCTTTCCGAAAGCAATGTAAAAAGGCTCAAGAGCATCTCCAACAGAACTTTATCAAGCTTCCCAAAGATGAACCGAAATGCATATCGGAAGTACTAGTCTGTTTCGTTGGAGATTCGGAACTTTTGAATGATTCGACTAATTTGGAACCTCCAGATGATGAGGATCATTTGGGTGATAAAGCTGATAATAAAGAATCGTCGTCGGAATATAATCCAGAGAATGAAGAGTCTTCATCGGAAGAGGAAGCAGCGTTCGAAGGGAAAAATACCGAAAAACACGACGAGAAGCTAAAATGTCCAGTATGCGATAAAATTTTCCGAACCCTTGCCATCAAGAATAATCATCTATATTTACATAGTGACGTAAAAGAGTTTTCATGTAATGAATGCGGCAAGTCCTTCAAGACGAAACGGTATCTGCGAAAACACAAGGATTATGTTCATGCTTTCGGTGATCATGAATGTGCTACGTGTGGAATGAAATTTACCAAAACATCCAAATATCAGTACCACTTGGAATCACACAACCGATCTGAAAAGCCCAGAAAAGAATTCAAATGTAGCCTTTGCGACAAAATATTTGTTCACCGAAACCATTGGAAAAGTCACGAATTAACTCACACCGGAAAACGGTCCTACCTGTGTAACATTTGTGGCAAAAGTTTCATCTACGACAGCAGCCTTAGAACGCATCTTAAAATCCACAACGGAGATGCAGAAAAGTATGCATGTGATATTTGTAATAAAACGTTCTCAAGCAAAGGGAGTCTAAAAGCGCACCTCGATGTCCACTTGAACGTGAGAGCATATCAGTGCGAGCAATGTGGCATGAAATTTGTCCATCAAACCACACTCAAAGGACACATGAAGCTTCACAATGCCGAAAAAACGCACCATTGTGAATTTTGTCAGGAATCATACCTTAGAATCCGAGATTTGAGGCGCCATCGTTTGTTAATTCACAACAAAACAGAAACAATGAATCGAGAGATTCAGCAATCACTTCAAGAAAATGAAATTGTCGAAAAGGCACCCACCAAAGAAGAAGATAGCCCTTCCAAAAAGCGTCGCAAAAGACCAATAGAGAACAAACCTTACAGTTGTGATTTGTGTGACAAATCGTTCAGAATACCGTCAGCGTTGGGAAACCACTTGAAGATCCACAGCGAGGACCGGCAATATGTCTGCAAAGAATGCGGCAATGCATTTAGGAATATTGTACATTTGCAAAACCATGTCAACGCCGTACATATGAAGCGAAAACCATACAGTTGTGAGGTAAGTGATATGGGTTAGACCCATTGGTCTCTTTCTTGAACCAAGTCAAATATGCAAGCATTTAATTGGTTAAGATCTAATTTTATGAACATACAGGTATGCAAGAAATCATTCGCCCGGGCGGGCGATCGGAACCGTCACAGGCAAATGCACTCATCTGATAAACAATATCAATGTTCTGACTGTGGAAAAAGTTTTAAATGGGCAAGGTCTCTTCAAACTCACATTCGAGAACATACGGGAGAAAAGCCTTACGTATGCATCATTTGTAATGTGGGTTTCGCACGGCAGGATTATCTGGCCCGTAAGTATACGAGACTGTAGGTAATGAAGTGAGGCACTTTAGTTATGCGGCGCATGTTTTTTTTTTCGTAGGCCATACTCGAAGTGCGCATACCGAAGCACAAATGAACATTCCGAAGGAAAGTGAAGAACTAGCTCAGTCGGTATCCTAGTCACCAGGCAACCAATTCCTGAATGATTTGTATGCTTCGAATGTCAACTCTGAAATATGTACCCACTACTGAAAATTGTAGCAGCGAAACCAACCAATAATAATGGGTATTTTGGGAACAAAAAGGATTAAAATTGGCTGCCGCTGAAATACCAACTACGTTCTATGAAATATATGTTTTCTTAATGGAAAAAGGCCAAGAAATCGATTCCATTTGCGTACGCTACGGTAACTATGTGTTTTGGCGCTCATTTTTCTTCATGCCCCCGTATTTAAAAGAGTTTTATTTAATCGCGTTTAATAATCTATTCAATCAGTAAAATTTGGTAGAAATTACCAATTATGTTTTCACAGTCAATAAGTGACCGGGGTCGAATAGACTCAAAACAAGAGTTCTACTTAGGCCTATTCTGCGCGGCGTGTGAGGTAAGGTGACAGTGAAGTGACAATTGTCACCTCGGATGAGATGACCATCCATTTGATTTGCACGGAGAGTCACCTCACCCGAGGTTGTCACTTCACTAGTGAGAGCGAGTTACCTCACCTCACACGCCGCGCAAAATAGGCCTAACTATAATAGCATACGCCGAATGAAATTGTCCGAAAAATAAGTTATAGTTTACATCGAAAATTGGACTGTGTGTGGGTGTATGTATTCCCTCTAACCCCCACTGGCCGGCAGTGTTATTATAGAAAAACTCTCTCTACAATGTCGCATTTATGGTCAGGCTCTATTGCAGATCCAGCAACGCATTTCAGAATGTCTGGAGAGTCACGCCCATTCCGAGGTTACTTTCACTTACAATAAGCCCCGCATGTATGCCAGGGTTATTCTGCGTGGCGAATGAAGTGAGGTGACTCAAGTCACTCGTGTCACACGATTCCAGCTGGCGAGTGAGGTGAGAAAAGTCACTTGGGATGAACCCGGTGAACTCTCACCTTATTCTCACACTCGTATTTCGGTGACAAAAGTCGTACTGAAGTGACGATTTTAAGTGACAAGAGTCGTAACCTCCGCTGCAGTCGACTGGATGGAAAACCTTAGAGTTATAAGTGATAGTTGCGATTTTCGGTAATTTATTACTTCTAAATTTGTTCCAATCAATTTTTTTTGTTTCTTCGGCTTCCTCAATATGCGTATTTTTGGAGTCAGGTTGACGTGTAAGGTCTAGAAATCGATGTCTGAGGCCGTTTTGAAATTCAAGATAGTGGCTTCCGGTTGGAGAAAAACTTGAACAATTTGACTTGATATTGTTATTCATTTTTCTTGAACAAACCACCTTTTTTCAAAAGCACATATTAAAAAACAAAGAAAGATGAACTGAATAATGATGCTAACTCAAAATTGATAAAAATGTAGATGGGACTGACTTGCGATGACCGGCAGTTTAGTTAATATAAAAATCTACACATGTTCTTCACTGACAGCATTGTCATTGACAATTGACATGGTTTGCCTTGACTATGACTGTTAGCTCAAATGAGTGACCGAAGCAGAATTGTCAATATCACCGTGTATTGTCGAGATTTTGCAGCACTGCGCCGTGATGTACCCTAATTCCAATGAGCGCCTAACTCCGTTCACGTAAGTCGAAGCGTTGAATTTGTCGTGAAACATCAGTAAAACTATGTAACTTAGTGTTCACACTACCGCTGCGTTCTGAGAAACGTCCGAAATGATTTGAACGGAGCATCCGGAAGTTCTTTACCTTCAGAAGAACTTTATCATGAACGAAAATTTTCTAGGTGATCGCCCTTTAGAAGTACAGACAATATTTTCATGCATACTGTTCAGTTTTTGTTACGACGAATTTTGAAATAATGCGGTTTTTTACACGGTAAAAAAGACTTGAAGGTACTTAATTCAAAATCTAAAAAAATGGATTCAGATCTCCATTAATTGAGGTTAAAAATTTCTAGAACAGTTTAAAGCATAATCACAGACAAACAGACATAACTCTCGCAAGTTGTTCATCGAACAAGCATTTAAAGGTCAATTTAAAAGTATCATAGTTGGTAGTACCGCCACCTGTGGCGCGCATAGTCAATTCCCTTGCGTTTGACGGTTGCACACTACCACCATCTGTTCAGCGTACTACCCACCACAGTGTACTCAACAGATGGCGGTAATGTTTTAGCGACGATGTTTTACAGTAAGAAATATTCAATGTGTTATGTCTGTTTGTCTGCGGCATAATCTTTCTTTCTTTTTAATTCAACCTAATGGTCCATTTATGTAACTCACAAAGTGGTCAATTATAATAGTCAAAAGGTGTTTGTCATCGATGAGGTGAAAATTGTATTCCCTGTCCACAAGTATAATATGTACCTAGTTAGAATATAGGAAACATTAAGCGAATAGTATCGCCTCTGCCGTGAAGCTTGTCCGAATGTCTTTAATGCCAAAAGTGACTTCCCGCATAAACAATAACCATAAGAAGCGCCTAACCACCAATTCGGGATATAATCCCAACTTTATGTGGTACGGTCGTACCATCTATGATATCATTAGTGTATGGTACCCGTTTATTAGGGTTGTAGGCTGCTGGAATTTCGAAGCAAACGAAAGCGAATTGGTGTTGGTACCTAATTGATTTGGAAAAAAAAAACTTTATTGAACTTTGATCCTACATCTCCCGCTCTACCTCTATCACTACCCGCTAACTTATTCCAAATATATAGTTTGCCTTTTACGTCTGAAATGTTTAAATTAACGTTTTATATTTACCGTGTACGCGTATTTTGCACAACAAACATCCAAATGGCTATCATTATATTCATGTGTTTTTTTATCCTTTCCCTTTAAATACCGGATTTGCGTCTTCGCTGCTACAACATCTTCGCTGGTTCTTACGAATGATTCAATTATTATAATGCATCTAGAATGCAATCCATAAAATGGAACGTGGTTTAATCTAGGCTTGCACAAATACAGTAAAAGAAATGCAATACCTGTATCTCTTCCGTCGGTGCAATATTTATTGCAATTAAAATCCCTTTTTCTCTGGCACATACTTGTGCGGGAATCCGCTGTATTGTACAATGTGGAGATTTATAACAGAAAGTATCTCAAGGGTCGTAATATGAAAGGTGAACTACTAGATGTCGTGAAATAAAACGGTACGATAGAAGAAGTGTTGATAATGGTGGCTCCAAAGCGAACCTTTGGCTGACGATGGTCAGTTTGTCAATTCGCTTTGGCCATGTCCAATCCACCGAAAGCTTGCTCGAGGGCGGCTACTTCATCTTTGGGTTGCTTTTCGGATGATTTACCAGCCTTGGGCAGGGCAGCTGGTGATTTAACGGTCTTTTCCTGTATCTGAGCAATAGTCCATTGCGCCAGTTTTTGGGCTTCTTTTCGTTTATTAAGAGGGGTCTTTGAATTCGCTAGGTGGCCGCAGCACTGTGGAATGGAAATATTGGTTGTCTCATTGATAATTAGGAACACACTATGTCAAGTATACTTACCAAAAACAATCCATAAAGCGCCCGCAGATTGTTCTGGTTCAGCTTAACAGCTTGACAGTAGTAGGACTTTGCGATTTCAATATTATCGAGACCACCCTACGAAGCAAAGGAACGTTTAAACTAGTGCATCACCAGTCAACAGCCGATATACCTACCATCGTATAGCGAATATCTGCTAGCCTCTGATGAATCAAGTGGCTATGCGGGTTGTGCAGCAGAACTTCCTCCATACAGAAGGCAGCTTTGGCGTACTCTCCTTCGGCCAGATACAAACCGCACAATTCGTGCCATCCTTCTTGATCAGACATGAATCGTTTCATGTAGTCGCATAATTCCCGAATAGCTTCGGCCGTTCTGCCTTGCGCTTTGTAAATGGCCACCTTCCGCTTCCGGGGTGCAGCGTTCGTTTCATCCTTCTTGATAATCTGTTCCAGCACGTCCAATGCATCGTCGTAGCGTTCCAGCGCCTCAAGCAGCATTGACTTGTACTTTTGAATCCTCAAGCTGCCAGGAAACTCCGCCGTCAGTATCCGAATGCAATCCTCAGCCGTTTCTATCCGGTTACAATCGAGTGCCGCGATCATCACCTGCTCCAGAACTAGATGACGTTCATTACCCAGTTTGTTTTGCTTGTCACACAGGATTGCATCCCACAGCTGCATTACATCCTCGCTCTTCCGCTCGTTATCATCACGCCACTTTCGGAACAGATTCCGAACATCTAGAACAAAAAAAAAAAAGCTCTCCAATATCAAAACATCCCATGGCCTCAAATAATGTGGAAGTACGAAGAAAAAAGTTAAACTCACCTGACCAACTCATTTCGTCTATGTTGTACGACATAGTAGAAGTGTAGAGCTGGCACGGGGAATTGAAGAGATATTGTTTTTATACCAAACTATTAATAAATTATTCATCAACTCTAATTTAACTAATTGGAAAATTGCTGGGCGACGTGAAAATTTTCACACAAAACTCGCACTTTTTCACCAATCTGCTGCTGGCCACTAGCTGTCAGAATCGGCTGACTTTTGGTTATATTGATGACAGGATGCAAAACCGTCATCATTGACACGGGGGTCCTGGTGGCGGAATTGACTTCAAGCTATTTTGAGGCTACTCATTTTTTAATAGAAAATCACTCAGTCAGCCAAAAGGGAAGTTACCCAAAAAATGGGTAAACATCTCGGTAAACATGCTTTTACTCAAATTTTAGTAAACGTGCCTAATGGAGGAAACTGAGTATGCTCTAAGGCCGGCGCACAATGGATACGTTTTCAGGTTTTTTGACAGTTAGCCCATGCATTATCTGTCAAAAAACTTGAAAACGTATCCCTAATAAAAATTGTATGGTTAATTTGCTTAACGACGTGTTCTGGGTATCATCCAAACCATTTGTAGAATGGTTCGATGATTTGGGTTATCGTTCGTTTACGGTTATTTTTTATTAGGGATGCATTGTGCGCCGGCCTTTACATCGTCCAGGAAGAATATTAAAAAAACATTATGAAAACGATAATTCTGTATTTATTGAAACCAACGAACAATTTGTTGGAGTTGTATACCTCACCAACTAGCTGTTGATTGCTTTCGCCATGCAGGCTATAACGTAGCTGCTCCATTTCCACTGCTTCACTTCTAAAAAGTACTTTTATGGTGGTAAGTTCCAACTGGTATTAAAAAGGTCAGGCTGCTTTGTTGTCGACATTAGAGCTAATTAACACAACTCTAAGCAAAAATTGTGCAGATCATCCAAACAGGGACGGTATTAAAAGTTAATCCGAGTTGGAGCTTACCGCCATTAGACTCACTGCGCAAAAATCGCCTGTTCACAACTTAAAACTGCGCCATTTTGAACTTAGGTAAAATTGATTTCAGAACCATTTACCCAGAATCTGGGTAGATTCCATTCATCGGAGCAAAACCAGTTTACTTCTTTTTTGACAACTCCATTGAATTTTCGACGCAAGATCTCACTAACACAACCTTGCTAGTGTATTCGTGTAAACTCGATTTGTTTATTATTTTCAACCCCGAAATCAGCTGTCAAGTGTTCGACTTGACAGCGGTTTGTTTTATTTATTTTTTATTTTCAACCAGTAAAACGCATGTATTAGTGAAACTGATCACTGATCACTGAGGTAACTCTAAGACTAGAAGGTCCCGAAATAACGTGCTCAACTTTATGGCTCAGCTCTGGTACTCTCTTCGGTCCCAAGCTAATCGATTCACCCCTCGAAACATAGGAAAAACCAATAACCCCTCATTTTATCTGTCAAACTTTCATAGCGAATCAAAACAAACATAGTGTAGTAGTAGAATTTCGACTAGAATGGGATACGTTAATTGATTTGCTTGGGACCAATAGGCTAGTCAAGCAGTGAGCCAATTGAAACTCGTTAGTTTCGAATTGATTGTTGCTAATACTAACGGTGACAAAGAACTCTATACAGCATGCGAAAATAATTGCGATCTACCCACCCTAATAAAAATTGTATGGTTAATTTGCTTAACGACGTGTTCTGGGTACCATCCAAACCATTTGTGGAATAGTTCAATGATTTGAGTTATCGTTCGTTTATGGTTATTTTTTATTAGGGCAGTCACTGAGTAGCCTCAAAATAGCGTGAGATAAATCGGTATATCTGGCAACACTGGGCCCTCTTTGAATCAGAGACAAAGCATGTTCTGCCAGATATGAGTCTGTGGTGTGCCATGCCGCAAAGTGAGTATGGGTTCCGCAATAAGATAAACGTCAAACATCGAAGTTTTCGCGCGCTTTCTGTTGTGCACCACTCGCACGGAAGCCATTCCATTCGTCGGTTCTTTTGTTAGCGGACGGGTTGTTGAAATTTGATCGGAAATTTACTATAAATAGTGACGAAATTGCCCAAATTTCTTATTAAATATTAACTGTTGTTCGAAGCCATGGCCGATGAAGATCAGCGCATTCGTGATATCCAGCGCGAATATTTGGATTTCCTGGACGATGAGGTGGTTTGACGTAGATTTGAAGTGGGTTCCAAAATTCTGATCTGTTTTCTTTTTCCAGGAGGACCAAGGAACCTACACGGCTCATGTTCGTAAAATGGTTTCGGACAATGCCAAACGATTGGTGGTTAATGTGAACGATCTTCGCCGCAAGAATCCGGCCCGTGCCCTAGCTCTGCTGAACAGTGCCTTCGATGAGCAGTTGGCGTTCTCGCGTGCCCTCAAAGAATATGTTTCCACTGTGGATCCCAGTTATGCCAAATCGCACGAGGATTTCTTCGTGGCTTTTGAGGGCAGCTTCGGAAACAAGCACGTTACTCCCAGGTCTTTGACGTCGATATATTTGGGAAATTTGGTTTGCGTGGAAGGTATCGTTACGAAGGTTTCTTTGATCAGACCGAAAGTGGTCAAGAGTGTGCACTATTGCGGTGCTACAAAAAAGGTGATGGAACGTCGCTATACAGATTTGACCTCTTTTGAGGCGGTGCCATCAAGCGCAGTTTATCCTACGAAGGATGACGATGGAAATCTACTAGAGACGGAATTTGGTTTGTCAGTTTACAAGGATCATCAGACTTTGAGTATCCAGGAAATGCCGGAAAAGGCTCCGGCTGGGCAGTTGCCTCGATCGGTTGATGTGATTTGTGATGATGACTTGGTCGATCGTTGCAAGCCAGGAGATCGTGTGCAAATTGTGGGCAACTACCGTTGTTTGCCAGGCAAGCAAGGAGGCTACACAACGGGAACATTCCGGACGGTACTGATTGCGAATAACATCTCCCAGCTGAACAAGGAAAGTACACTAAACGTCACCCGAGCGGAAATCAATCTATGTAAGAAGTTGGCCAAGCACCATGATATTTTTGACATGCTTTCAAAGAGTTTGGCTCCATCTATTCACGGACATGAGTATGTTAAGAAGGCTATTCTTTGTTTGCTGCTAGGCGGGATTGAGAAGAACTTGGCAAATGGAACTCGTCTTCGAGGGGATGTTAATGTTTTGCTCATTGGCGATCCCAGTGTGGCCAAGTCTCAGCTGTTGCGTTATGTGCTGAATACAGCTCCACGGGCAATCACCACCACTGGTCGAGGATCCAGTGGTGTTGGGTTGACTGCAGCCGTTACTACGGACCAGGAAACGGGAGAACGTCGTCTGGAGGCCGGTGCTATGGTGTTGGCTGATCGTGGTGTCGTTTGTATTGACGAATTCGACAAGATGAGCGATATGGATAGGACTGCCATCCACGAAGTTATGGAACAGGGCCGTGTAACAATTTCCAAGGCGGGAATTCACGCTGCATTGAACGCCAGATGTTCTGTTTTGGCTGCTGCTAATCCGGTCTATGGTAGAGTAAGTATTATCATTGAGCCATCTAAAAAGATACCTAATCTTACTTTTTTTTAATGATTTTAGTACGATCAGTACAAAACCCCGATGGAGAACATTGGTCTGCAGGATTCTCTGCTGTCGCGTTTCGATTTGCTGTTCGTCATGTTGGACGTCATCGACAGCGACCACGATCGGATGATTTCCGATCACGTGGTTCGAATGCATCGCTACCGCAATCCGAAGGAACAGGACGGTGACGTTCTCCCGATGGGCGTGAATGCGGTCGATATGCTTTCCACCATCAATCCAGAAACGCGTGACGACAAGGAAACGCCCATGTACGAGAAGTACGATCCGCTGCTCCACGGAAGTACCCGGAAGAAAACCGATCAGATCCTATCGGTGGACTTTATGCGCAAATACATTCACATTGCCAAGTGTCTGAAGCCGAAGCTGACGGAATCTGCTTGCGAGATTATTTCCAACGAGTACTCCCGCCTTCGTTCGCAGGATTTGATGGATTCGGACGTAGCCAGAACACAACCGGTTACGGCTCGTACTCTGGAAACGTTGATTCGTTTATCCTCGGCCCACGCAAAGGCTCGAATGGCAAGGACTGTCACGGAAAAGGACGCCCAGGCAGCGATCGAGCTGATTCAGTTCGCCTACTTCAAGAAGGTTTTGGAAAAGGAGAAGAAGAAGCGCAAACGAGCGGAGGACGATTCCGATGACGAAGAGCAAGAGGAAGATGACGAAGGGGAAGTGGCACCGAGTACACAAGAATCCCGCGCTAGTCGTCGGGCAAAGCGCACTCGTATTGAAGACCAGGAGGAATCCGATACGGAGGACCTGGTATCGCCGGCACCGGATTCAGGGGATCTTACCAGGAGGCAAACAATTTCGGCTCCGGGAACAAGTGGAATCACCACACCTTCAACAGTTCCGATGGAGACCGAAGAGGCGGCAGAGATTTCCGATGAAAGATTGAAGATTTTCAAGCAAGGTGTTTCCCAAGCGTTCCGACAGGCTCGGGAACAGTCGCTACAGGTGGCTCGTCTCAAACAATATATCGATGAGAACAGTGGCGCGGAGGCGTTCTCCAAAGGTGAGGTGCAGGCGGCCATTGCACGGATGACCGAGGACAACCAAATCATGATGCACGACGGCATTGTGTTCTTGATCTAAGTTTCGTTGTCAGTTTCATTCTTGATCATAATATGTGTACCTTACTAGCTTACAGTTACGGTTTATCATTAGGTTTACAGTTTTTCATAATAAAAGCATCGTGTTGGTTTGAAATACATAGCATTTGGAGCTTACGTATGACATTCCATGTAGGTATGTATCCAAAGATAAATTCTATGAAGAGAATTACGCAATATAGAAGTTCAGTGCCAACATTTCATTTGGGTGAAACTGCTTTTGTAAACAATGGCTTCAACCTCGCAAATAAAAGTTCACTCCTGCAAATTAACGATGTTAGCTGGTGATATATTCATCTACCTGGTTAGGTTGGGTTACTTAAATAAAAAAGACTTCCAGATTAATCTATCTGCTGGTGTCGTTCATTTGCCAGTTATTGCTATTGTTATTGTGCCATGAGGGGCATTGAGCCTAGTCGTTCTACACCTTTCATGCAGCAATCAGATAGATATAAGATAAGATGGCTCTTAAATAATGATTTATGCGAGTCGATTGCAATCTGCCGAAAATAAAATAGGGCTTAGTTGATTCTTAACATAGAAGTGACATGCATAGGTTAAGAAAAAGTGCAAGAAGTGTTGAAGATGTTGACATGCAGAATTAGAAGTCGAGATTGTTTAAATATCGTTGATCCAGTTACCTAATTATCCTAATTTGCACTTCATATTGTTATGATTATTGTCAATAATACTTACATTTCGATGAAGATGGTGCTACCTATTTTACTTTATAGTCATATTCTGCCTCTTCAGGTTCGCTCACCACCAGGAATGAACGCTCGGTGCACCATATATTTGATATGGTTAGTAATATCAAATCATCAAATAGTGTTACATGCAATCGAATAAGAGATACAACCAGGATTAGTTTTTAAAGTAATAGTTTCATCTGAATACCAGAGACTTGGAATAGAGACACGCATAGACTGAAACAAGAAGAACCAACCCGCATAAACGCGAACCATAACTTGACCTGGTTTATAATCCCTGCTAAACTTTAACTGACATGGCTATGAGACTTTACATGAACATGAACGTTTGTGTGATAAAGTTTTAACCTAATGTATTATAGTTCTTTGGAAGTGAACCATTACCATTAAAAATTCTTGTTTTCTCCATACCATGTTGGGAAAAGAATTATATTTGGAACCATTTTATTTATGATTTGAGAACTTAAATGGTAATGGCACAGACAAACAGACATAACACTCACAAGTCACAAGCATATTCATCACAAATAATGTTTTAGTTGGGAATGTGCTTGCATTTGTCATGGTGGCGCTCAGGCCAGTGACAAGGTCTATACCAACAGCAGCGTTTGACAGTAGGCAACATGTCCCGGGCTCAAATCGTTTATTTTGCTGTGCTGGGCCCGCTGTCACGGTATAACATGTTGCCTACACGCCTGCCACTGGGCTGGTGGCGCTTCACCGTGAATATCTAGAGTAACATTTGAAATGGGCCTATGTCCAAAACGTAAACAAACCAGAAAATGAATTTAAAATTTTTCCGCCACTATTCAATTTATATTTAAGAAAATTTAAGTATTTTAGGCATTTATATTGTTCACAATAACAAAAGTAACTGTAGCTCAGTATACAACATCCAAAATATGAGAAAATTTTAAAAAATATATGAAAATCGACAACATTTAAATTTCATAAATTAATAAGCCTTTTTGTGAATCTTTCAACGGATAGGCCCTTTTTGTTAAGCCGTTGTGCTTGTCATCAGAAATGGTACGCCATTTACCGAATACGCTATTTACTTTTTTTTTTTTTTTTTTTTTCCTTTGGTTTGTTTTCCGTCGATCTTGTTTTCCGTGCTGAGCACCAATGCTACCGACGCCAGGAAGGCAGCTCCCACACCTGGACCCTACCTATCGACCCATCAACTCATGAACCGGGGACCAACGGCTTTACTTCCCATCCGAAGGAAGGCGTGATCAGAGATGTTATGCCTCAGAACATCTCGGCGGCGCCGACTGGGATTGAACCCAGGCCTGCTGGGGTGAGAGGTAATCACGCTTACCACTACACCACCGGCGCCGCTGCTATTTACTTTTCGCAACGTCAAATAAATTCAAAACAAATCATCGGCCCTGCCTGAAGCAGTAGGGCCAAAAACTCAAAGTATTTCTTTTAAGTATTTAGGTGTCTGGTTCGATTTCAAATGCGCATGGGGAAAACATATTGCATATCTGAAACAAAAATGCCAGCAAAGGATTAATTTTCTTCGTACAATTACCGGAACTTGGTGGGGAGCCCACCCGGAAGATCTGACCAGGTTGTACCGAATAACAATCCTTTCGGTTTTAGAGTACGGCAGCTGTTGCTTCCAATCCGGAGCAAAAACACACATCCTTAAGCTGCAACGGATTCAATACCGTTGCCTTCGTATTGCGCTAGGCTGTACGCACTCGACTCATACGATGAGCCTCGAAGTACTCGCGGGTGTTCTCCCACTGACAGATCGTTTTGCTGAGCTGTCTTTCCGGTTTCTCATCCGTTGTGAAGGTTGTGAAGTAATGAATCCTTTGGTAATAGAACACTTTGAGAAGCTGCTCGGCCGAAATCCTCAAACAAGATTCATGAGTACATGACGCTGGAGGTTGGTCCTTCTTCATTAATCTCCAATCGTGATTGCTTTCAAGCCTTCTATAGTTCCTCTGTAAATTTTGATCTGACCATGATGCAAGAAATCCATGGAATACCAGATCACCATCGGTCGATGGTTGTTCCCTCAATTTTTGCAACCAAGTACCACCATGTAAGTAACGATAAAATATTTTTCACAGATGGGTCAACCATAAATGCTTCCACTGGATTTGGTGTATTTAATCAATTTCATAGCGCCTCCTATAAACTGCAGAAACCATGCTCCGTATACGTTGCGGAACTCGCAGCTATGTATATTTTACGCAGTAGAGCGAATTGCTTCACTACCCTCTGACCATTATTTCATTTTTACGGATAGTCTTAGCTCATTGGAGGCTATTCGTTCAATGAGGCCGATGAAGCACTCCTCGTATTTCCTGCCTGAAATACGATCTAAACTGAGTGCTTTATCTAACTGCTCCTATACTATCACCTTAGCTTGGTTCCCATCTCATTGCTCAATTCCGGGTAATGAGAAAGCGGACTCGTTGGCTAAGGTGGGCGCTATGGAAGGCGATATTTTTGAGCGACAAATCGCCTTCAACGAATTTTTCTCCTTTGCTCGTTAGCAAGTCCTCATCAGTTGGCAACAAAAATGGAATGATGGTGAATTGGGAAGATGGTTACATTCTATTCTACCACAGGTGTCGAACAAACCGTGGTTCAAAGGGTTGGACATGAGCCGCGACTTTATACGCGTTATATCAAGGCTTATGTCCAATCACTGCTCGTTAGATTCGCACTTCTATCGAATTGGGCTCTCAGGCAGCAATTTATGAGCGTGTGGCAGTGGTTATCACGATATCGAGCATGTTGTTTGGTCATGTACCTTACACTGTGTTGCCAGATCTGAGTTATCCACACCCCTCAGGGCCCGAAGAAAACAACCCGCGATACCCGTTAGAGATGTCTTGGCGAGCCGAGATCTCGACTATTTGAATTTAATTGATGTGTTTTTAAAACGGATAGATCTGAGGATTTAGTAGTTAGTGTCATCTTGCGTTCTCCCAAGTTGTTAGCTGCCCATCGGTCACATATGCTGTTGTAGTGAAATGAAGGAAGAAAAGAGATATAGGGGAAATGCAGATTTTTAGCGACGGGCCCAATCTTAGATCCATAGGCCAACATTAGAGACATTTCCCCTATATGAAACATGGACAGTTGCAATTCCAATGACTTTTACCAATACATTTAGAAAATGATGATCGAAGAATATTTCGTATTTAGTAGACAAATTATTTACCCTTTGTAGAACCTTAAAGAAAAATCTGGCATAACAGGATTGCTCAGTCGTAAAAACGTAACCTGATTGAAGCGGAAAGCCTAAGGATTCCTTTGAATACATTCAGCGAAGTGTTTTGATGGGAAAATACAGTAAAATTAACGTTTAAACTTTGATTGCCGAAAACAGTCAATGGGTGCCGAAGCCAACGATGCCATATATACAGACTTCTGAACACAAAAAAAGCGGTCACCCTTTTCTAATTGTATCCAAAAAATATCATATGAAGTATTGCGTGAAGTTACATTTAATGCAATAACTAGTTAATATTTGTGATTATTTATATATCTAATGAGATTACAAAAATCGTTATTATAACTAAAGTTACAAGGGTTCAAAAAAGATAGTGTCCACTTTTATCGTGTACAAAAATCTGTTTATCTGGCATCGTTGGCCGAAGCCGACATTTACCCAAATAGGACATATATTTTTAAAATATTTGTAATGGCCTAATAAGAGTAAACACAACTTTTGAATGCCAACAAGCCGTCAAATGATGCAATAAACATTGCACTCTAAAATAAAACAGCGCAAAACAAAAACTCAATTTGTATTTTGAACTTAGGATCAGGTTTTTATTTTATTTACTCCACTGTGCGGTGTACAGATTAGCGTTGAACCGAAGACAACAAATCAAGAAGACTGGCAACTCTTCCATTTTCTCATACGAACATTATGAGACAGGTACAATCGCATCATCTGCCGCTCAAAGGTAAATGCTTCGAACGAATTTGATAGCAAAGATTACATCCTCAGAAGAAGGGTTTGTGTATTTGCTCATTTTTCTATGCGTTGCTGCCACCTTCACTCAAGCGCAGTGCCATTGTATCTGTCGCTTGGATTCTGGCAAAGTTGCCAGTCTTCTTGATTTGTTGTCTTCGGTTGAACGCGTTAGTGTTCAGATAAAAAACGTATCGATTAGCGGGGGTCCACAGTAGTGATAAAATCAAATTTGTTTCCCATTTTTATCACTAGTGTGCAGGCATGGAAAATCATTTACATTCATTTCGTGCATTCATTACATTCATTTGCCGCAAAATGGTGCATGAAGCTTTTGTAAGTTTTATAATTAACTACAACATTTGTGAATCACTCAAATCTGTATCTCTTATGCATGATGAACTAGACCGGGCAGAACTTGTAATTTACATTCACTGAAAAGCAATGGTGGGTTCTGTTTGCTCTAGGTTCATCGTGCATGAGAGATACAGATTTGAATTATTCACAAAAGTTGTAGCTAATCATAAAACCTACAAATTTTACGGAATTCTGTTGATGAAAGAAGTTAGTGGCAAAAGAATGTACCTAAATGAATGCACGAAATGAATGTAAATGATTTTTCATGCCTGCTAGAGTGGAATCGGTAGTGTGAACATGAAAATGACCACTCTTTTTGATGCGTAGTTTTCGAATCAATATATCCAATCTATTTTATGTTCGGAAATTAATCATTTGATAGCTTCTTGCTGCAGTTAAGTTCAGTTTGGACGGTATCCACGTCGTCTATGCTCACACTAGTTATCAACAGTTGACAGCAGTAGAAGCATGGTGGTATTTTTTGAGCGTTTGGTCGAGAAATGGCGAAGCTGCGATACGTTCTTTGATGCCATCTGGTCTGGCCAGTGCTTTACCGATCGACTTGGCCTGTCAATCATGACGTACGATAAAAGTTCCCGCATCCCTAGGGTCAAGAAGGTTCCAGTGGGATTGATTATAACCGTAATTGGACAACTTGTAATATTGTATTTCAACATCGAGACGAACGTTACCGAAAACAATTCGAGTTCGTTCATTATTCGCTACGGGATGCGATGGGTTTCCGTGATGGCTACCATGATGATAATGTTGGTAACGGCTTTGAATGCTTTATTTCGTCATCGAACGTACAATCTAATGAAAGGGATATATGAGTTTGATTTAAAAGTATACGTGTGTGATTCTTTGGCCGAATAATGTTGTTCAAGATTAGTTTCGTTTCAGATGAAGGCAATTGGATACGATATCGATTTGAAGGTTCAAAATAATTGGTGTAACTTGATTATCTGTATTAGTGGGGTGTCATTGATGGTAATAACGGCAGTAACATTTTACTTAGTATTCAAGGCTTCTACCGGAGTAGTTTCGTTTCTAAAAACATTTATGACTATTTGCTGGACGAATTATGTTATAACAATTTCGACAGGGCAGTACGTGATTTATAATTATAGTTTTCAGTATAGGTTTAAGGGCCTCAATAAATATTTGTGGTGAGTATTTTGGAATCGAAAATGAAGCTAGATTTTCCAGTTTTCAGTTCGAACATTTTTAGTAATCTATTGCCAACTGATGCGGAATATACCAACCAATTCCGTCTACGTGAAATACGCCAGAATCGTTCTGTGTTGATGGATCGTATTGGGCAGATAGCACAGCTACACAGTGAACTGGTGACACGGGTTGACCGTTTCAGCAACGATTATGCAGTTCAACTGATGCAGTCTTACTTCGGTCTAATCGTTATGGCCATTTTTAGTTGTTTCACACTGTATCGTGTGTGGGTGAATCCGGAGTCGGACAGTGTGTACATTGCAATCATCAATTTTTGCTGGAGCTCGTACTACACCGCTTATTTATTATTCAACTTATCGCTGGCCGATATGGTTCAGACGGAGGTAAGAGGAGATCCATTTTGTGCGCCACGTTATAAGGCGTGAGGGGTTAAGAATTCAAAGCAGTATAGGAAAAAATGTTACACGAGAAGGTTAACAGCAATGAGCTTTAGTTGGATTTGTTTTTTAGATTCCCTCTTAAAAATTGAGTAAGTAGTGTAATGTAGCCATTTATTTTCGTTGTAGGCCAAGAGTATTGGCATATCCGCCCATAAGACCATCAATTTGGTAGACGATGATGAAATTTGTGATAAGGTAAGTACGATAAATGGACTATCATTTTGGACATTTTAAAATTGATAATTGGGTTCTTAGCTCCTACTGCTGTCAAATCAAATTTATCAACGGACTCCGGTAGTTTCCTGCAAACTGTTCAACTTCGACGCATCGTTGATTTTTTCGGTAATTATTCCTATAGTTAAGAGGCATACACAGTTTTGATGATCTGTCTAAAGCATGACAAGTTTAACGCAACAGCTGAAAGTTTCAGAGGTTTCTGATGTGCATATTTTTTTTTGTTTTTTCCCCCACTTCAAGACGCTTGGAACCATCACAACCTATCTAGTGATTTTGATTCAATTTGACATACTTTCTGGAGATGTTGAGTAATTTGTTTGATGCAACTACAATTATCAGTACTCAACTTAACAAAGCTCCCAATCCGGAGTTTCTTTGTTTCGATCTAAATATCACATCCTTTTTTTTTAATTTTAACCCTTGTACAATCAATTCTGTTTTTACGTGAATTTGATTTTTTGTTGGTACCATCTGATTTATCTTTAAAAACAAATTGCATTGAATTTGATTGCAGATTAAGATCAGACGATCCAAAATAGAGGCTCGTAAAATCATAATTGTGTGTATTTTCTTTTTCAAGTATATGGCTCTAATGTTGACCTATGGGTCTAAATATTGGGTCTGTCGATAAAAATGTCCTGTTCTTCAATTTTTCGTAGAGCAATGCATCATCTGGACATCTGGACAATTCAAATGGACGTTTTTGGTTGATAGCGAAATATTGTCAAAAAATGCTATCCTTCGAAATGTATGTATGGACACTTAGGCTGACATTGAGGACATTAACCCTATGAAATTTGATTCATGCTTGGATTCTCTCTTAGGTCAATCAGTGTCTTTAAGCAATACTATGGTGGAGGCGACGAGGTCATTGGACAACTTATGAATCACTCTGTACCACGTAGTAAGATCATAACCCCAGCTTGCTTTTGGACTTCATAAATGACTTAGTAAATCATGTCATACAGAATTCTTAAGTTTGTTTTTCCTCAGTGTGAATCAAGGGAAAATTGGCGTTGACGGCACCGTCAAAAATCACCTCTTCTAGTTCTAGCAAAGATTGACAGTTTCTTATGGGAATTTTCGATGAACTGAAAGGATACTACCATAGAGGTAACTCTAAGACGCACACACAGTCTGACGTTTGCTTATGGCTTTTACCATAGGAGTAAAGAGTTACAGAGTCACCGTCAATGCCTAACTTCAACAGAATATTTCCATTAATCAGTTTCTACGGTTCCGTAGATCCGGAGATAAACTCGATAGAATTCGATTAGACGAAAACAATGAAACAAATAAGTCATTACCACGCAAGGCGCAGTGCATATTATATCGATTCAGTTAGAGCTTTATTGTTTTTAGCTTTTCAGCACTGAAATTCTGCAATGCTGAATTGAAGCTAATCTAATGTTTTACTGTACCTACACACCACCCAACTAACATTTTCAGTTTTATAAGCCAACTTTTGCAGCGTTGTGCTGTAAAGTAGCTGTAAAAAAGCTGCAGATACAGCTACAAGCAGAAGCTAGCAAAATAGTTTTAGAGAGCGTTTACTCAATTTTTTCACAACCATTATTCAATTTGTCAGTCGCACTGAATAACAACAGCCAATAAACGCTAATGTAACTTTTATGCACATGCTAATCAACTTTCAACTTGTAGCTGCAAAACAAAGCCAATACAGTGAATATGTTACTTATTTGATGGCTTCTACACAACCAACCACTCTTGCTGAATAACATAAACCTCAAAAGTGTTTTTTCAACCACTAAACAACCTGTACTGTGCTAATAAACTGTGTTAGCGCTACTTTGGAAGCATTTTTACAGTCAACTAGGTTTATTTTTAGACGTATGCAGTTTCACAGCTTTTACTCTGCTCCTTTACAGAGCTGAAGTAACTTGTCGAGAAAAGTGATTCATGTGCACTATTATAAATCCTCTACGCAGCGATTTTGTTGTAGAAGGGCATGTTGATTTTTTTACATCAGTGTCAAGGTTTACTAATGCGGTCGTCTCGAGTTTGATTCCAGGTTCTGGTGCAGGGTTAGATAATTTGGTGGTGTGCTCGCAGGTGGTGTGTGATTCGCAGTAAAATAAACATGATAAATCCCTCCAACAATAAAAAAACGTAAACAACATTTAACATGGTTAAATGTTAGTGTTCCATGCCGAATCGAATTGTATGAGGTGTGACTGTCAGTCTTACTTTACGTCGCGTACTAGTCAGTCGTTATCATATTGTCTGCCTGTTTAATCTTCTATTTAATCTAGTTACCACACACAGCAAAATCCTCGACAAAATCATATAGGTACATGTCATAAATCAATCTAATTAAAATGTATATGAAAATCACATGAAATTTACTTCTTGTTTTGACACATATATTTTATCTGTTCTAAAAATATATAGAAAAATAAACATCGACAGTGAGATGGTGGTGCTTTCATAATAGCGTTTTTTATTGAAGCTGCTTTGGGATTCGATCCAGGACTCTTGAGGGATGATGCTGTCGGTGTCTTTGCTCGGTTCCACTGGGTCACGGCTGACTTTGCGATAGAGCTCTTTCAATTAGCATGTAGTAAGAACAGCTCTCTCGACATGTAATGTAGTGCAACGTTATACCAACAATCAATACGAAACTATCGATTTTAAATTGGCTCACTACTTGACTAGCCTATTGGTCCCAAGCAAACGATTAACGTACCCCATTCTAGTCGAAATTCTAGTACTACGCAATGTTTGTTTTGATTCGCTATGAAAGTTTGACAGATAAAATGAGGGGTTATTGGTTTTTCCTATGTTTCGAGGGGTGAATCGATTAGCTTGGGACCGGAAAGAGTACCAGAGCTGATCCAAAAAGTTGAGCACGTTATTTCGGGACCTTCTAGTCTTAGAGTTACCTCTATGGTATTAGTGCTGGAATCTGAATAAGCCGTGTAGAAAGCTTCCAATTAGAATCTTAGCAATGTAAATATTGCAGTTGAATAAATTTTTTTCAATCTCAATACATTCTTTTCCGGAACCCCTTATGTTATGGGACAATAACAAATAAAGATTATTCAATACAGTATCATTGTTGTTAGCAATATTTAGTTCGACTAACAATCATGTTCAATGAGTGTACGATAACTTTGTTGAACATTATTTCAATAATTTATGCAGAACAATCATATAAGATGTATTTTATTGGGAGCGATATTCATCACAAAAACCATGCCAAAATAATTGTTTGCTGTTGGATTTCTTAAAAGGCAAATCTCTTACTTACCTTACCAATCAGGCTAAGGCCTTGTTGTCCTCTGCTGTCCGAAGAAGTCGTCTCCACTCTACTCGATCCATGGCCACAGTTCGCCAGCCTCGTAGTCTGCGAAGGGTCCGCAGGTCACCTTCTACTTGGTCGATCCACCTTGCCCGCTGCGCGCCTCTTCTTCTTGTTCCTGTTGGGTCGCTTTCTAGAACCATTTTCACTGGGTAGTCGTGCGGCATTCTTACGACGTGCCCAGCCCACCGTAGTCGCCCAATTTTTGCAATGTGGACGATGGATGGTTCTCCCAGCAGCTGGTGCAATTCGTGGTTCATTCGCCTCCTCCACGTTCCGTCATCCATCTGCACTCCACCGTAGATGGTACGCAACACCTTCCGTTCGAAAACACCAAGGGCGCGTTGGTCCTCCACGAGCATAGTCCAGGTCTCGTGGCCGTAAAGGACCACCGGTCTAATCAGCGTCTTGTAGACAGTCAACTTCGTGCGGCGGCGAATTTTATTCGACCGGAGCGTCCTCCGGAGTCCAAAGTAGGCACGATTCCCTGCCATAATGCGTCTTTGAATTTCTCTGCTGGTATCATTTTCGGCGGTCACCAGTGAGCCCAAATACACGAACTCATCGACCACCTCGATTTCGTCACCGTCAATCTGAACTCGGGGTGGGAGGCTAACATTGTCCCCGAATAGAAATTTACATTAGCCCAACGTTTGATTTTGATGTCTACATCAGCATCGAAATCAAATGTATGCCTGATGTCAAACATTAGAAAACATTATGATTTAGTTGTATTTAAGCAACGTAACATGGTGTATACATCAGAAATTTTGGAACAAAATTTTGCCATTCTAATGTCGGTCTGACGTCAAAAATTTCAATCTATTGACATTAGAATCAAACGTTTTAAGGATGTTTTCAGATGTAAAAAACGTTAGAACTAAACGTTGTTCGGATGTTTTTATATGTAAACGTTTTCTGATGTTTTCATATGTAGATGTTTCCTGATGTTAGAATCAAACGTTTTTCGGTTGTTTTCGGATGTAAAAAACGTTAGAACTAAACGTTGTTGGTATGTTTTTATATGTAAATGTATTCTGATGTTTTCTAACGTAGATGTTTCCTGATGCTAGAACCAAACGTTTTTTGGATGTTTTCGGATGTACACAGCGTTAGAACTAAACGTGGTTCTGATGTTTTCAATTGTACTTCGTGTTTGTTGTTCTCTGATGTTTTCAGATGTACAAAACGTTTGAAGTAAACGTTGTTTGAATGTTTTCAAATGTATAAACATCTACATTTGAAAACATTCAAACAACGTTTCCTTTAAACGTTTTGTACATCTGAAAACATCAGAGAACATGTTTTTAGATATACAGAACACTAGAATCTTACTTTTCAAATGCTTTCAATTATATTTACAACACATTAGAATTAGAAACATGATCGTGTAAACACTACACACCATAATTGTTAGATAACATCATAAAAATGCGTACATAATAGTCAATGCTGAAGCTCCCGTTTCCCACCAGTCAGTTAACTGACCTTAGCTAACCTAATATCATTGCGGCAACTCTCTATGCGGCAGGGGAACTATGCCATTAGCGCGCTAAAAGTTGTTAGACCACTGACATAGGCGCCAATTTGTAGGTGACGAGGCACTTGGTGACATTACAGCGAGCTTGACGATTGTTGCAGCATTTTTTTTTAGCAAACTACCAGTTAAGGTTTGTAGTGTTTACAAGATCATGTTTCTAGCTGTAATGCTTTGTACAATTGAAAGCATTGGAAAAGTTAATTCTCATGTTTTGCACAACCAAAACCATCAGAAAACATAAAATTGTACAAAAAAAATCATCCATTCTGGTAGATTATCTCTTAAATGCATACAGAATAGCCATTGCTTAAGCTCCCGTTTCCCACCAGTCAGTTAACTGACCTTAGCTAACCTAATATCATTGTGGCAACTCTCTATGCGGCAGGGGAACTATGCCATTAGCACGCTAAGAGTTATTAGACCACTGACATAGGCGCCAATTTGTAGGTG